GCCTCTGAATCATGGTCCCGGCGGAAATATGTTGCTTTGATCATTGAAAGCTCATCTGAGAGGAGCTGATTAATAGTTTTTTCTTGATGTGGAATCTGTGGATGCTGGCTCTCTAATCTGCCAGGAATGTAAGGTCCGGGTGCGTCATCGTGCTTCTCCAGCGAAGCGCTGGCCTTGCTGGCAGCATGATGCAATGGGAACGGAGGTGGGAGGCTCAAGCAGGAGGTGACTTCCCGCCGTGTCAAAAGGCCACAGCCACCTCTGTTAACCACAACTCCTTTTCTTCTTTGGGGCGTGAACTGTAATTCTGTTTGTATTAAATCTAGTATTTCTGCAGCTGCTGCCAAACCCAAACATGCAGTGCTGGTCAGGGAGCAAGTGTTGCCCGCGACGGAGCAAAGTGCAAGGGAGAGCCGTGGTATGGTGCCCTGGATTCGGCTGCCATGGAGTTAATTTTCCTCCCAGCAGCGGCCCCAGCGCTGGGGTTTGGGTTTAGTACCAGGAGTTGGTAACCCCCTGATGGCTCAGCTAGTGCTGAGCAGGGCTGACACCAGCAAGGACTTTCCAGCTTCCCCTGCTCTGCCAGGGGCACAGGGAGCTGGGAGGGGGCATGGCCAGGACAGCCGACCCCAACTGGCCCCAGGGCTATTCCAGACTGTATGCCCTCATGCCCAGTATAGAAATGGGGGGGGGTTGGCTGGGGGGCAGCGATTGCTGCTCAGGGCCGGGCTGGGCATTGGTTGGTGGATGGTGAGTGGTTGCGTCACTTTTTTCCCCTTGGTTTTGTTGTTTCTCTCTCTCTCTCTCGCTCTCATTGTTTTCCTTTTCATTACAATATATTATTATTTTTATTTTATTTTATTTCAGTTATTAAACCGTTCTTATCTCAACCCACGAGTTTTCTTACTTTTGCTTTGCAGATTCGCTCCCCCACCCCACCAGGGGGTGAGTGTGTGGCCGCGTGGTGCTTAGCTGCCGCCTGGGGCTAAACCACGGCAGACGGGGTAATGGCAGGGGCGAATGTTTATGGCCTCGCTTTTGCCGTAGCCACCGGTGCCAGGGCACAGGCTCGCCGCTCCGGTGCGCGTCGGTGAGAAGCATGC